ACAGCATTGTTCACAATAGCAAAAACATGGAACCAACTGTGCTGCCCTTCAAAAGAGGACTGGATTAAAAAATTTGGGTGCATATACATGATGGAATATTACACAGTCATAAAGAACAAAATCATGAACTTCGCAGCAACCTGGAAGGATTTAGAGTCTATAATACTGAGTGATCTTTCACAAAAACAAAGAACTGAGTATCACATTTTCTCCCTTATAAGTGAACCTTGAACAACTATCCTAATACTATAAGAAAAGGATTGACAGTGGTGGGAAACTGTGGGGGCATGCGGAAATGGGGAGGTGGGATTGTCAGTGGTGGGAAACTGCCTGGAGGAGGGTGGCACACCTCATCAACAAGGGTACCTGCACAATGAATATTTGTATAACTAACCCTGAATTGTACCCCAAAATTTTAAAATAAAAAATTTAAAGGTGAAAAAAATAGAAATTATACCAAGCATGTTCTCAGACCATAATGGAATCAAAGTAAAAATCACTAAGAGAAAGAAAGCTGAAAAACATTAAACAACAGACTCCTAAATAACTGATAGTCACAGAAATCGCAAGATAAAATTTAAAACTATTTCAAACTAAATGAAAAAACAACTTATCAAAATGTTTAGGGTGCAACAAAAGCAGTGTCTAGAAGAAAATTTATAACATAGGTTGTATACATTAAAAAGAAGAAGACCAGGCATGGTGGCTCATGCCTGTAATCCCAGTTCTTTGGAAGACCGAGATGAGAGAATTGCTTGAGTTCAGGAGATTGAAACCAGCCTGGGCAACATAGCAATACCTTGTCTCTACAAAAACTAAAAAAAAATTAGCCAGGTATTGTGGAGTATGCCTGTAGTCCCAGCTACTTGGGAGGCTGAGGTGAAAGGATCACCTGAGCCCACGAGGTCAAAGTTGCTGTGAGCCTTGATCATGCCACTGCACTCCAACCTGAATAACAGAGTGAAACTCTGACTCAAAAATAAAGAAGAGGAGGAGGAGAATCTAAATCAAGAATCTTCCACATTGGGAAACTAGGAAAAGAATGGCAAATTAAGTTCAAAGTAAGTAAATAAAAGAAATAAAATATGAATACAATTCTGAGTGACCTGATAACTGATTTCTAGAACATGAATTCCATATGGCTTCAAAAATTTCATTTTATGAGTGTTAATTGGCAAGGGACCGTGACAATTGTTTCTGATATGGCTACCTCAATTATACTGACAAGAGATGATCCATGGGATGATAGTCATTTGTATATAACATCACTCTAATGGTTCTCCCAAGTCAAGAAACATGTGTATGTTGTCTTTCTTGTGTTTGGTGAATCAGTGGCTTACAGACTACACAATCGATCATTTTGGGGGTACTGACCATTTTACTCCTTTAAGGAAAATAATGTATGTGCCACGCAACTATGGGAAATATTGTTTTCCTTCTTGACACCTGGCTATTCCTCTCTTCTTAAATGATAACAAAAGAAGAGCACTATTTGGCCTAATGTACCCAGGGCAATTTATACCATCCAGGTGTCCAGCACTGAATATACAGAAACTCCAATCCACCTTAGAGCAGTGGTCCCATTAATTTATCTCTGATAAGCATATTCAGGTCCAAGATTCTGTATTTGTAGGGCGCTGACTCCACAGATTGACCTCCTCAGTTTGGTCAATGTTGAGATGTTATATTTTCTTGAACAGGGATGATGACATAAAAATTATATTCAATGGAATTATGTGGAGAGCCAGCATAGGTGACAAACCTAGAACAAGAAGTTGGTAATGCTTATTTCTGTTAGATAAATAATTTTGGAGCTTGATACAAGGACACTATTGTGGGGAATTTGCTTTACCTAATGCTATGTATTCACTTCTAGGTGAACAAAAGATTTTCATTCTTTGAGCATTGTATCAGTTATTTATAATTCCCAATAGTATAGGCCTGGGACTCATTCATTGGTTCTTCTTCTCTCATTGTGTCTTTCAATCATACTTGCTACAGGAGATGCACCATCCCATTGATAAAAGTGAAATGGCTGCCTTGGCTACAGGTATATTAAAAATAGATCACTGCACTAGTGACAATTTACTCTTAAGGTTATTGGGTTTACTCACTTAAGAATGAACTTTCTTCTCAATGTGTGACAGACCTCCTTCACGTGATGATATGACAAAATCTTTACTTTTTACCTGAATTTGATAAGATAGAAATTGAAGAAAATTTTAATTTATTTTCTGATGCATTTGATTTATAGTACCCAGTCTAATGTGCAATATTCATTTGGTTACATATATACAACTACACCAATTTATATAAAAATTTTAAGGTTGTTGTAATGGTATGGGAAGATTTTCACTCACTGGTAAGATTTTTATAACTGAAAGACCATGCCAGTGGATACAAAACCATAACATCAGGAATTTGCTTTGCTTGTGAAATACGTAACGAATTGGTGAGCAAACTAGTATTTGGATTATAAACCCCCAAAATCTTGTGTCTTCATTATTTTCAGCATAATAAAAGTGTATGCTATGAATGCTGCCAACTGGTTCTGATAGAGCCTTTGAAGTGAATAGGTTTCTCCAAGTGGCAACATGTGTCCCAATATGCATTCTATTTCTCAGTAACTTCTTTGACATACTTTATGGTGTCCTCATGAGAAAAACATTCTCTTTACTAAAATTTCACTGAAATAATGCTGAGACAATGTGATGTTTTTGTGGTCTAAATATAGGAGTAGACATATTCATCTCTACTTATTATAATATTTTATATGATTCTGTTTTGAGGATGTTTTTGAAATATTGATGAGAGTCTGCAACATAAAACCTGGGCATTTTGACTACAAGTTTATAATACCTATGTATGCATTTCCCAAGGTGTAGGTAAATGAATACAATTCCATTGCTCTGATAATGGATTTCTAAGTCCTGAGATTCATGTGTTTTATGAAAGTATTTTATGAAAAGTTCAATAAATCATACCAGTGGCTAATGATATGACTTCCTTGAATATACAGATAATAGGATGCTCTTGTTTCTGCATAAAATCACTTGATTGTTTCTCCAAAGTCAAGTGATCTGCATGACTTGTCATTATTATGTTTTGTGAATCAAGAGACAAAAACCTAAGTAATGGGAAATTTTTTTTTGTATTGACACACAGCAGAGATGTAGTTCTCCTTTTAACGTCTGTTGTATGTCTGCCTCTTGGATAATGATCTATAAGAAGAGCACTCTATAATACTGAGTGACATCTCACAGAAACAAAGATCTGAGTATCACATGTTCTCACTCATATAGTGGACCTTGAACATCCAACGTAATACTATAAGAAAATGACTGACAGTGGTGGGAAACTATGGGGCGGGGATGGGAAGGGAGATGGGATTAATGGTAGTAAATATCTGTCTGGGGACAGGGAGACACCTCTAATCAACAAGCATACCTGAACGAAGTATATTTGTATACCTAACCCTTAACTGTACCCCACAATATCATAATAAAAAATATTGATTAAAAAAATAAAAAAAAAAAGAAGAGCACTCTTTGGCCTGTTGTGACTGGTAAAGTTAATACCATTCACCTGTCCCATGTTGAATATGTTCTTAACTTAACACACCCTAGCATCAGGACTGCAGGAAGTCTTCCCTGGTAAGTTGGCCAGATTCAAGTGTATGTATGTCTGGGGAGTATCATGTCTTTAATCAATGATAAGACCTTATATTGTCTCTATGAGAAAAAAATGACTTAAAATTATTCTCAATAGGATTATGCTGAGTCTCAGTCTACCTAGATTACAATCCTGTGGTAGATAGTAGTGATTGCTTATTTCTTCTCATGAGGAATTTTATTTTGAACTTGAGGTAATAAAACCCTTATGGGTAACTTGTTTGTCCAATTGTAGCACTGCACCTATAAGTGAACAAAGATTTCCCAGCCTGTAAACTTTATTTTAGTGGTCTATGATTTCTAACAATATGGTATACTCATTCTTTGGCTCACTTTCTCTCGTTGTGTGTTTCAGTAAGACATGCTGCTAAGATATGCATCATTATAGTCTCAGTACCTAATATCAGTCTAGTATCTAGTATCTAGATCAGTAATTTCATTTACTGACATAGATATTCCGTAAAGAACATTGAGTTATGGAAGGTTCACACGTAAGGTAGTTTTACTTATTCGGGTAAACTGAATATCTATGAGTTTTTTCTTCTTGATATAGACCTCAAAACAATGTCTTTACTTGTTATCTGAGCTTTATACGATTGAACATTGAAGAATTTTTTTGATTCACTGTTACCTAGTCCAATAATCAGTATACATGTGGCTGTAGATACATGACTAGGCAAAATTTTTCTATAATATTATTGAGGAATTCTAACAGTGTTGCACTGTTTGGGGTTACTGATGAACTTCCTGTAACTGTAAGATTATGCTAATGTAGGATAATGTGAGGTTCAGTATGTGTTTGCCTATGAAACATAAAAATTGAATAAGTTGACCACCAAATTGATACCCAAATTTCAGCTACTGAGTATTATGTGACCCCATTATTTTCATAATAATGAAAGCACATATTACAAATTATGACATTTTTTCCTAATATGGGCTTTAAAGTAACTAGTTTCACATATTAATTCATCAGGAGTCCCATTATAAGTTCTTCTCAATAAGTAATTGGCCTACTTGATGGTATCCTCTCAAAAATGTTCACTTTTTACTGAAATTTAATTGAAATAATGTTGGAATATTTTGTCATGTTTACCATCCCTATAGTATGATAGCTATCATAGATTACCTAGTGTCAAAAAAAACGTGTGCACCTTATCCTTATGATGTTGATGAGTCAGTGATCTAAAGTCTTAGTAATAAGCCTTTGTGGTATTATGTACCATATCGCTACACTAAGAAATAGCATGTTTAAGTCATACACACATGAAAAATGTATCTCTGATTTTGAACTGTGGTTTTATTCCTATCCTCCTACATAAAGACTACTGAAGAAGAGCACCCTTTGGTATGTTGTCACCACTAAATGCTACCACCTAGCCATGCTGCAATGAATCTAACTGATCTTCTGTCCCTTTGAACCATGATCTAATTATGCTATTCTGGTAAGTGTTCACAACATAAAAATGTATATATGTATAAAGAGTATCTTGAGGCAATATAATGATGTAAGAATATGTTCAGTGGGATTATGCTAAGGCTCAAAAGAAGTAACAATCCTTGCAACAAGGTGTGGGGAGTCATTAGATTTGGCGGGGGGGGGGGTTGTAATTCCATTTTGGCCTTGGTAGAAAAACACACTTTGGAGAATCTTGCTTCACTCATCTCTCTGTGCTTCTAATGGGACTTCTTTTTATTATTTTATTCTGAGCTTAACATCTTTATTCTTAATACTCACACATTGTTAGAGTTGATATCTTGGCTTATTTTTTTCTGCATTGTGTGTTTCAGAATGTTGAATCAGCAACAGATGTGCCATTCCATGGGGTAGTTATGAGTTCTGCCTTTGGTGATTAAAAAATTCCAAATAAGCCATAGGACTATTAAACTTTGGCCTCTAAAATGATTTATTCTATTCATTCATGCAAAATCAGTGAGTGATGATCTATTCTTCCCAATGAGTGACTGATCAGTTCATGGAGTTCTCATTAAAACTATTTATTACCTGAACATAATTTGGTTTAAATGTGAGACATTTTGTAATTCATTGCAATTTCTGTATTAAGCCACCTGAGAGATTCTGCAATTTCAGGAGACCTATATAATTATCCTTTATACTTTTAGATTAATAAATGACCTATAGCCTATATGATGGAGTTTTTTTAACATAACAATATCTCTTCATTAAGAAATAGCACGCATGATCCACACACACAGGAAATAATTACTTCTCAACTTGGCCTACTTTCTTATTCTCTTCCCCTTAGTTAAAGATGATTGAAGAATAGCATTCTTTGGTTTTTCAACACCAGACAGCTGACATATACAAGTATCTATCTGGTCTCCTATCAACTTTCAACCATGGCTTAAGGATGCCATCCTGGTAGGTGTTTTTCAGACAAAGTGAATGTATGAATATAAAGTTTAATGGCTTGTTTCAACAATAAAACCTTATGTTGTCTTCAAAACATGAGATGACATAAAAACCAGAGTGGGTGGCCCTTATATTTTCTGGGGCATTTTATTTTAAGCTTAAGATAAATTATTATTTGGTGGGATCTAGTTTCTCTTACATCTTTCTAATAGCTTCTAGGAGACCATTTAATCATTTTTCCTGATTTAGTGGAAAACATTTTGGCAGTTCTTCAAAAAGTTAAACTTGGAATTACCATATAAACCAGCAATTCTACTCTAAGTATAAACTTAAAGAATTGAGTTGAATATTGAAGAAATGTCCAAATGAATATGTGTACATGAATACTGATGCACTATTTACAAGAGCTAATAGGTGGAAACAACTCAAAATCCCACCAACTGATGAAAGGATAAACAAAATTTGGTAGAGCCTTATGATAGAATATTATCAAAAAGGGAATGAAGTATATATGTTATAACACAGATAAACCTCAAAAACAGTATGTATACTAGGTGACATAAGACAGCAAAAGAGACACATATTGTATAATTCCATGTATATGTAGCATCCAGAATAAATAAGTCCATAGAGATAGAAAGCAGACTAGTGATTGTCAAGAACTAGAAGGCATGGTGGAATGAGGATTGGCTGCTTAATAGGTTTAGATGATCATTTTAGGATGATAAAAATGTCTTAGAACTAGATAGAGATGGCTCCATAACATTACAAATGTGCCCAAAATATTAAAGTGTACAAACCAAAATAATTAATCTTATGTTTTGGTAATTTTACTTCAGTGAAAGAGTAGACCTAAAACTCTGGTTACTTTAATTCTGTTATTTAATGTGACCACTTTTTTATTTATTTTTAAATTTAAAACAGTGAAGTAGAGTTCAAACTACAAAGTGTTAAATTGATGGGAGATAATTCTAGGTTTCCATTTTTCTGCACTAAAATATGTGGCAAAATCTGTCTGAATCAACTTTATCAAAACTCTGGTAGGTAGTCAAAGGTTTATAGAAATCAAGTGAATGCTTAATAAGGAGAAAGATGACTTAAATATCTTAGTGATCATTTAATTTAATTTAGTCCCACCCCATTTCCCAGCACCCTTGGTAGACATGAAAATGGCATCCCAAATTCTCAAGGTGGGTATATGAAGGAAGAGTAGACCATGTTCTTAAGGAATTATGTTTGTGTATTTTGACCTGACATAGGTTTCTCCCAAAAGACTGACACAGGAGACTTTGCTCTGTTTCACCTAATTCAAGAGTCTATCAGGGCAGAGCAGCTACATTAATAATATTTCCCTAAGACATTGAAAGACAAATTAATAAGCCACTGCTACTTGGGCAAAAACCTACAGGATAAACAATAGATATGCTGAAAATCTGGGATGAAATGCAGAATAGTAAAATTTGGGGAGAAATAAAGGCTGAAAAATTTCTGCATATACAAGGGAACCTAGAAAGCCCTGCCCAAGACAGGATGTATACTCAGAAAAGACCTAAGAAACCATAGCTTTGACATCTGACTGGTCATTAAGCTTGAGTCAAATAGGAAACAAAGCCTAAAGTAGAGTTATAAACAGCCTCTTGAGCATTGAGGAATGACCCAACACAGAGTCAATCTGTAAGACCTAAAGAATTTTCCCTCCTCCCTCCCTTCCTTCCTTTTCTTTCTTTCTCTCTTTCTTTCATCTTTCTGTCTTTCTTTCCTTCCTTCTTCCTTTCACACTAGACAATTAGAGAAATCTGCTACCTTTAGAGATAATGTCCATACATAACAAGGAATACAGTATTTACCAAAAAAAGTTTTGAAAAGACACTAAACAAATGGATGACTATATCCTATCACAAACAACTGTAGCAAAACCTAGATAGGAAACAATCTGATTTCTAGTGTTACTGTACTTATTCAGAATGTTCTGAGAAATAAGATTTAAAAAAGCAAAGACTACAGAAATAACACATGAGAAATAGTACAGTTTTTATGAAAATATGAAAAACAGCAAATTTTCATTAAAAAGAGGCATACAAAGAAATGAGAAAGTGTAGCTCATTTATTAAAAATATAGTAATAGAAACTGTCCCAGAGGAAGCACAGACATTGTACTTACTAGACAAAGACATTAGTCTACACATCCAAGTATGCAAACTCCAAATTTGATAAACTCAAAAAGATTTACACCAGAAATATTATAATAAAGTTATTAAAAGACAGAAATTATATCTTGAAAGTGGTAAGACAGAATTGACCTGTTACATACAGGAATCTTCAATAAAATTAACAGATAATTTCTCATCAGAATCAATAAAGATTTAAAGGAAGTAGGATGACATATTTAAAGTGCCAAAAGCAAAAACTTGTACACCAAGAATTCTATACTTGATAAAATGATTCTCCAAAAATTAAAGAGAAATTAAGATGTTCCCAGATAAAGAAAAGCTGGAGGGTTAGAGCGCAGGAGAGAGTAACTAGCAAAGCTTCCTTATAAGTGCTAAAAAAATGCTTCAGGCTGAAATAAAATGAGATTGATCCTAAAATTCATATGAATTATGAGTGACCACATATTCATAGAACAATCTTGAAAAAAAAAGAACAAAGTTGGAGGACTTACATTTCCCAATTTCAAAACTTTACTACAAAATTAATCAAAATAGATTGAAGGATAAGAATAGACATATAGAATTTTACATTGGGCTTGAGAAAATGTCCTTGTGGAAATGTGTTTGCACACTTCTATCTATGCACTTCTTTTTTTTAAACATATTTTTTATTATAAAATTGCAGGGTACAGTTAAGGGTTAGGTATATAAATGTGCATCGTTCAGGCACCCTTGTTGATAAGGGGTGTCTCCCCGTCACCAGACAGATATTGACTACCATTAATTCCACCTCCCTTCTCCTCCCTACCCCCGCATAGTTTCCCACCACTGTCAGTCCTTTTCTTCATGAAAAGGACCATGGTTTGTGCTTCAAATATCCAAATATTCTCATTTTGGTCATGAGACAATCTCTAATTTCACCTAAATTTGATTTGGTTGAAAGTTGAGAAATTTTGTGATTCATTGGTGATGTGCAAATTGTGCAGTTTTTATTTGGGTATAAACACATGTTTAAATAAATTGTAATGGTGTTGGAATGTTTTTGGATCACTGATGAACTTCCAATAATTGAAGGCAATGGCAAGAGTATTGTAACATACATATCACTTAAATAAGGCTGAAATGAATGAAATTTGTTCACTTAGAAGGACACGATCTATGCACTTCCAAGTGCACAATTTGTTCACTAAGAAGGACGCTATCTATGCACTAAGTGTTTACAATGAACAAACCATGGTTCTTTTTAATAAAAATGTGTTTCATGAATCCTGTTAGCTTCAAAGTTAGTGGCTGCCTTTGACAAATGAAATTTTCAAATAGGTCACTGGAGTAATGCTATATCACCTCTAAGAGATTAGGTTTATTCAGGCAACATAAATATTATTAATGGTCTCTATTTTTTTTTTATTGTGAAGTTGTGGGGTACAGTTAAGGGTTAGGTATACAATTGCGTTTCATTCAGGCACCCTGTTGATATGGGGTGTTTCCCCATTCCCAGACAGATATTTGCTACTGTTAATCCCATCTCCCTCCCCCCACCATAGTTTCCCAGTACGGTCAGTTATTTTCGTATACTATTGCATTGGATGTTTAAGGTCCATTATATGAGTGAGAACATGTGATACTCGGATCTTTGTTTCTGTGAGAGGTCGCTCAGTATTATAACTCTAGTTCCATCCAGGTTGCTGCGAAATTCATGACTTTGTTCTTTTTTATGGCTGCGTAGTATTCCATTGTGTATATGTACCACATTTTTTAAATAATGGTCTCTATTTTTAATGAACGTTGACCTGCTTGCTTTCTTGGTCCAATCCTTATGAGAAAAGTTTTAATTTTAATATACATGTGAAATTTCTTTCTCATCTTGAACTACTGTCCTACCTCTCTCCCCTAAATAATGAGTACTGAGGAAGAAAGCTTTTTGGCTTCTTTTCAGTAAAGAATTAATATGACCCATGCATCCTACACTAAATTTGGCCTGTTATCTGTTAATTTTGACACCATGGATTAAGAATTCCATTCTGGTAAAGTTTTACTTTTTAAGACAAAGTAGATATATGTTTGTGGGATGCCATGATTTCTTTCAGTAGTGAGGTTTTACCTTGTCTTGAGGAGCTGTGATACTTAAAAATCATGACAAACAGGATTACACAGAGATTTATCCTCGGTGTCAGTCCTGGGGCTGGAATTTGGATTTTCTTTTTTCCCTTCTAGGAATTTTATTTTGGGCTTATGATAATTAACCCTCGTGAGGTTTTGCTCACTTTTATCTATTTTATTTGCAATGAACAATAAATTTTGAACTATTAAGCATTATTTAATTTATCTGTAATTACTAACTATCCTGAACCTTTTTTTCTCCTTGGGTGTTTCAGTAAGTTATGCTGCCAAGAGATGCACCATTCCATTGTTCAGAGGCAAGGGACTACCCTTGTTGACAGACAAGTTTCAAATAAATTATTTGAAACCCTAAGACAATTAAGTGTACTCATGTAGGCAATACGAATATTAGTCTGGGGATTTTTCACAATGAGTAGCTAATCTTCTTGCTGTGATCTTCATAAGAAAAATCTATACTTTTTACCTTAATTCAGTTCACTTTAAATTTGAGAAATGATATAATTCATTAGGGGCATATCCAATATGCAAAATCCACTTAGGTCAAAACACATGAGAAGGCAATTTCTCCTTTAATTTTTATTAAAAGATTGTAATTACATAAGGATGTGTTTAATCATTGATAAAACTGTCATGACTGAAAGAGCCTGACAATTAGAGTGAGAATGTGAAATTCACTAATATGGCTTGTTGCTGAAATTTGAAATTGAATAAATAGATAAGCAACTTGTTACCTGCTTT